TGCTGCGGCCCTCCAAAGGCAAGGGCCAAGGCACCATTCAAGGAGTTGCTGATGGGATGGGAATTCTAGTAAAAAGCCATGGGCCTCAGGTTTAGAGGAATAATTATTCTGGAAACTTCACTGAATATCCCTTGACACGTGAGCCACCCCAGAGCTGCTCTGGTCCTGCTCAGAACAGGCCATGGGAGGCCACTTTCCCTAGAACGCCGGCCAAGAGAAGGCCATGGTCAGGCTGGTCAGTCTCAGTGGTCTGCTCTGGCTGCAGCCCAGCTCTCTGCCCTGAGCGGGGCTGAACCTCAGGCACGTTTTCTTCAGGAGGTTCTGTTTCTATAGCTATAGAAAACGCACCTGAGCAGCCAAAGGCAATCCAGTCCCCGGAGCTGTTGATGGCGACTGAGGCTATCCTCTGATCTGAGATGCTGAGCAGAAAAGCATTAGACAGGGTGAGCAGAGGAAAATCCATCCCGCCCAGGGCCCAGGCATGAGGGGCCGCCCATGCCTGGCCAGTCCCTCCTGCAACCTAAGCAACCTGCGGAACCAGCATTTTAAATTTCCTTACATTCCAAAGATGAAGAACAGAAAGAAAAACACACGGACAAAAAGTGAAAATGCCAAGATCCCAGAGAACATCCAGGCCTGGGATGCATACAAAATTCCAGAGCAAGGACTCACCTCAGGGAATGGATGAGGTTGAACTCCGGGAGCTCATGCAGATGGAAGATTCCGGAAGCAAAACCCGTGACCAAGAGGTGAATCTTCTTATGATATGCCGCAGCTGTCAGGTTGTTAAAGTCTCCTTCTTTATTGAAAAAGTACCTGAATTGACAGGTGGAGCACCGTAAGAGGAGGACAATGAGGTGGTGGACCTGTCCCCTGCCCACCTCAGTTGGCTGCATCCAGGCTGCACCTACAGCCCGTGCTCATTCTGCTCCATCCCAAAGCTCTGGACCCCAGGACAACCTTAGGACCCCACTCCCACCAGGCCAGAAACAGTGGTAGTCTGCACTGCGGTTGCTTCCTGCCAGGGCCTCCACCTCCTCTAAATGGCCCCTGCTCCAATCACACACGAAGGTGACCCTGAAGAGTCTCCCCAGACCTGCCTCCCTGTGCCTCCCTCCCTCCACATCAGCATCAGCAGCCCCTGCCCAGTCAGTGCTCCCCAACCAGGATGGGGCCAGCTGGAGGGATCCTGTAGCCCCCACAGGCTAAGTCCATGCAGACCTGCTCTAGCAATCCCCCCCCCACACCCCTAGGCCCAGCTGGTCCTCCCCACCTGTCATGTCTTTAGCTCCTACACAACCCAACACCCCTAAGTCCAGCCCAGTCTGGCTGCCCCAGCCTCCCTCCAAAATTCTGTCCTCTTCTCTCCCTCATATCAGCTTCCACCCGAAGCATGGGACTCTCCAGAACATACCTGACTATGGACACCTTTTCCTCACCCATACCCCACTGTACTGCCATCTGTCACCCTAAAGGGCCACACAGTCCCTCCACTTCTCTCAACTGGGAAGAAGCCTCATAAGAGTGGTGATGTGTTCCACCTCTAAGACCAAGGCCCAGCACACAGTGGGTGCCAAATAACTGCTGAATGGAGGGTCCAGGCTAAACCACCCATATAGGAGGGCAGGTTATGGGCACTGCCTGGCTACCCACAGCTGGTAACCTTATTCTTAGGTGACAACGACCAGCTTCCTCACATGGCCAGAAGTGGGGCCAACTCCCTGCACTCCAGGTCCAGGACAGCTTCTCAGCTGGTTCAGCTTGGAAAGGGGCAAGATGGGCAGCCATGGGGGCGTAAGGCTGGGTGTGGCCGTCTTCCAGGTCTGTACAATCGAGGCTGTCCCTGGCTTTTAGGTCTAAAGCAAACAAAGCACTTGGAGCCCCAGCTCAGCGCCTGGCTGCCCCCAGCTTTCTGTACACTCATTTCTCATCCCATGAGATTCCATGGCTTGTGCTGGAGCACATCGCTGCCCCTGCTGCCCCTGCATCCCCAAGGCTGAGGCCTCTCCCACACCAAGCAGCACAGGAGCTGGCAGAGCCACAAACTTCCTGCTGTGCTTGAAGTGCCTGTCCTCCTACTCCCTCCAGTCCTGCTTTCTTCCTCTGAACGACTTACCAGCCCCTGGTCCAAGCCACAGACAGCTTGGACCAGAGGCAGCATCAGGTTTTCTGAGTTCTGGGTCTCAATACCCCAAGCACTCAAGGAGTATCAAATCCAAGTCCACAGACCTCCAGGGCCTCAGCCCCAAGGACCCCTTGTGTAGCTCCTAAGGGTGGAGAGCCCTCTGCAGGAGCATAACACCCAGGCAGCCGCCATCCTGGAGACCTACTTGGCCAGCCGTGAGTACTTCACTTTTCCGGTCTTCTCCTCCTCAGCTGGAGTGGCCTTGCCCCGGATGGTGGTCTCTCTCTCTCCCTCCTCCTCCTCCTCTTCTTCTTCTTCTTCTCGCCTCAGCAGGTCTGCCTTCCAGCCCGTGGGAGCCTTCAGCTTCAGGCCTTCTGGAGGCGTGTCACACTGCCACACACACAGGGCTCCGTCCTGGCTAATGGAGTACAGCTACAAGGGAAGCACCAAGCTGAGTGTGGGCTTTTGGGTGCCACTCCACTAAAATCCCCCTGTGAGCTGAGCAGAGTGGCTACTGTTAGTCCCCAAAGGTTCCCAGGCAGCTGGGAGAAGCAGCAGATGCTCAAGAAGGGGACCTGAAGCCCAGCCCCTAGGTCATTCCCTGGTGATGTCGCTGGGCTAATGATCTCAGGCACAGGACATACGTCCAGGCTGTTGGACTCAAAGAAGCAGGCCACGATGGCATCCTTGTGTCCCCCAAGCGCGTAGTAGATGAGGTTGTCCCAGCGCTCAGCTCCAAACACCCAGGTGGACATGTCCTTGCTCCCAACCACAAAGCACCTAGAACAGGAAGAGGAGCTGTCAGGGCTTGAGGCCCAGCACTCCCACCCTCATGGTCATCTGCAGCCCTCCAAAAGGAGCTTTAAGACACCACCTGATCCCCTGGTAAGGGTCTCCCAGGCAGGCTCAGACCCTCCATGCACAGGGAAGGTGGCCCACAACAAGTATCCCCTCTGGGGACAGGAGCCAGCTCCTCACACCCCCCGATGCAGCCTGAGACCCCAATCCAAGCAAACTGTTCCCCATACAGGTAGTCAGACTGTGGGACTTGGAGTGTCACCATACAGAGGCAGGACAGCTTGGCCATGTGATGGCCTGGCCCAGGCTCAGCATGCTGACAAACACAGTCTTCATTCTCCTCTCACTGGCGACCAGGCCTTGATGCAGAAACCACGCAGGTCCAGTGGCCAGAGCCATACCAGCACCAGCCTCTCTTGTGTGGCAGAGCACAGTGGCTGAGAAGAAGCCTTGGTAGCTCTAGGTTGCTCCTGACAGCATGACTGGCCTGCGTTTGGTGACAAACTATGTCATAACCCTCACTTCTATGAAGACGAGACTCTGTCACTAGTTTCCAGTGACAAAGGCACAGGCAAGCAGACTTGACCTGGAGCCAGCTGCCTGTTCCTGCTGCGATGGGTAGCACTAGCTTCAGGCAGGGATCATTGGACATTTTAAAATACAACCCCAGCGTACGAGCAGGAGCCATTTTCTCTGCAGAGATGGTCACTGGTGGCTCCCCAGCCTCACCTGGAGTCATCCGTCCAGTCAATGCATGTGGTCTCATCATACGGGCCGAAGTAGGTTTTGTCAAGGACAAATGCATTGAACTCTCGCTTCTTCCCAGGGGCATGGTACATCTGAGCGATGTTGCCCTTTGTGACCACAAATTTCCTACAAAAGAAATAGGAACACAGCAACAATCAGGGCCAATGACGGCCCAAGAGAGCTCAGAGCCTCGAGACCCAGCCTACTGCCCTGAGTGCTGCCTCTTCTCCTGCAGGAGGGAGGCTGAAGGGCAGGGGCTGCCAATGCCAGAGGTTGACTACCCCAAACCCGACTGTGAAGGAACCGACCATCCTTACCTGCCATCAGGAGAGAAGGAGACGCTGTGCACAGAACCTTTGAAGTGGAACTGGTGCAGCACTGATCTGCAGACCAGGCTGACCAGCAGTGCAGCACCCCCTGAAAGAGGCCAGAGTGTGACCCACAGCCCCCAAGACCCCGACACAGACATGGCACACTCGCCCTATGTGCACAGTTGAAACATGGGAAGGTGCTGTGCATGTCTACCTGGGGCCCTGTACTGCAGCCCCAAAGGCTGTAAGGTTGACTTCCACCCTGGCCACTAGCACACCACGCAGAGGACACCCTGCTCCCCATGGACCTGACTTTGCTTCCTGACACTCTCGCGCCCCTCCCCCTCCTTCCCCTGAAATGCAGGTAATCACCTTCATCAACGATGATGGCAAGGCGGCCATCAGGGGACAGTCCCACACACTTGATGTTGTACCTAGTGGCCAGGGGCAGTGTGTCAGATCTGTTGCTGAGAAAAAAAAAAAAACAAGTGCACAGTGGGTCTCCTGTCAGCAGACAAGGGAGTCAGGGGCCACCCACAGGTGGCCCAGCAGTGATCCCTCTCCACGGGGTGTGGGCCACATCACTGGCACCAGAGTTCACCAGCCATCCAACCCCTCCCACGTCCCCCGGATACAAGAGTCCCTAGAGAAGGAAGTTTGGCAAGAGAAGGACAATGACCACGGCGGCAAGTACTTTTTTTTTAAATGGGAAAATGTGTGGAAAGAGAAAAGCAGGCAGTAGCAACAGGGCATCTTCAGTGTTAGAACTAGGCTCTAGCTTCATGATCATATTGTCCAAATTTTCTTCAAGGACACCTCCTTCCCCTGGAATGTTCATGAGACATTCTTTAAACAAAATGGTAACAGTTCTCACAACCCAGCAGCAGTACCACTGCTGTTCCATCTACAGTCAGGGAAAATGAGGCCCAGGGGCATCCAGCTGCAGCTGCAGAGCAAGACAGACCATAGTGGTCTCCAAAAGAGCCGAGTCCTTCCCTTTGACAAGACAGGAAGGGAGCTATGCATTTGCTCAGAACAGCTAAACTGGAACAAGCAAACTACCCTCAGCTGCCAAGCTAGCCATTCTAGACCTGCCATCAAATGGGGACACCAGGGAGCATCAGGGCTCCCGAGGAAGGTCTGTGGTGGCTTCAACACCCCCAGCACCCCTGGCCGTGGGATGCCCCTCTGATGGAGATGTGCTAACCTTGAACCATACCTCCTGCCCACCATTGCTTCCATGGGAGTTAGGTCCCTTCCCAGGAAATTGAGACAAATGAAGCACAGTTTCACTTTAAAGGGTAACGTCAGCATCCTAGATGCAAGGGCCCTAGCTAAGACAGGAGAGTGAAGAACAAAGAACCTGGAAGCAACTTCCACTTCTGACCAGCTGACCTCACTAAATCCTGTAGCCCTCTCAGGCCACTTTAACTGGCAGATGTATCACAAAAGCAAGGCGAGGAAGATGGTCAGTCTTCATGCAAAGCCCAAAGTTACTGCTTTGGCATACTCACTTCTTAAGATCAAACACGGTGACTCTATTCCCCACAGGACTGATAACTGAGTTTCCATCACATGTGAAATGTAAGTCTCCACATCGATAAACTGTACCCAACAAATTTGAAAACTGAAAAGAAAATGAAGCTGTCTTAACATGAAGAAAATAGTTTGGGGTGGGCACAGTGGCTCACACCTAATAATTCCAGCTACTTGGGAGGTGAAACCAGGTTTGAGGCCTGCTCAGGCAAAATGCTGGCGAGACCCCATCTCAACCAAAAGCTGGGCATAGTGGCATGTGCCTGTCATCCCACCTATCCAGCAAGCATAATAGGAGGAACATGGTACAGGCCAGCCTGGTGTAAACTGAGACCCTAGTCAAAAAATACGTAAAAGCAAAAAGGCCTGGGTGCGTGGCTTCAAGTGTCAAGTGTCTGCCTAGCAAGAGCAAGACTCCGAGTTCAACCCCCAGTACCACCACCCCAAAAGAAAAAAAAGAAAGAAAGAAAAATGAGAGAGAGAACAAAAAAGAGAGAGAGAGAGAGAGAGTCTTGATTCCTTGAAAATGGCAATGTGAGCATCAAGGCAGAGGTGTCACAGCAGGCCCAGTGCAGGGTCCCTGTTCAACACAGGTGACACTTTCCAGGCAGAAACAGGAAGAAATGAACCCAATTCTCAAAAGCCTATGGATCTCAGCCAGGGGTAAGAAACTCCCAAGACAGGACACTTCTGCCAGCAAAGAAGGCAATCCGTGTTACAGGAAGAAAAAACCTGCAACAGTGAAACAGGAGCACCCATGGCTCCATGTATCCGTGTTCTGGGCCAGGGTCCTACCAACACAAGCACTCACTAAACAGTAGATGCTGTCGAGTGCTCGGACACCTACACCTGTGTCCTACGTCCAGCACAAAGTGGTATGAGAAATAAAAATTCAATGGGAAGTGCGAACACAGCACATCCCTGCAGCCTGGTCAGGAGCGGCTTCTGAAAAGGTGGTGGGAGGCTGCTTAAGTTTCTGAGCTGGAACCTCAGTGAGCACGTTCCAGGATCTGGGGTTTTAAATGGTCAGCAGCCAAGCTCTGAGACACATTCAGTGTGCACTGCTTCAAGGACTGGAGGCCCTGTGAGGAGCTGGGTATGGTGTTGCATTTGGTGTTGGAGGACGCAGAGGAGGAGCACTTTCAGGGCCAGCACGGGGTTGTCTGGATAGGCATGTGAGGCAGGTTGGGCCCAGCAGCAGGGCTGATGGAGCAGAATCACAGGCCCAGCCTGGAAGGAGCTGGGCCTCATCAGGGAGAAAAATCCCAAATGGGAAGGGCTGGGGGCACCTGATGTGACTCGGTGCAAGGCCTTCGAGCACTGGGACAAACATGCGGGGAGTGGAAAACCCACCAGTGCTTCCTGAACAAGCCGGCATTTCAAATGCTGCAGAGATGCTCCGGTCACGGTCGTGAGCCCAAGTCTCACCTGGCTCTCAGCCGACAGAACGATCCCCTCGCCGGCCTCGGAACCACGGCTCACACCTACACTTCCCCAAGCTCACCTGGCTGCCCCTCTCTGGCCTCCTATCCCTTCTCTGCCCACCCGCCAAACGGCTTCCTCCCTCCTCAGCATCGCTCCCCGCTTCAAGCCCGGCTGCCTCCCGTTAGAAAACGAACCGCGATCCTCCTAGACCCACCCCCGGCCCGGGTCCAGAGAAAGGCGGCCGCGGTGTCCCCAGCTAGCACGGGGCGCGTCCACTCCGGCCCGCCACAGGGCTCGGGCGGACCAGAAGCCTCGCTAGTGTCACCCAGCGCCCGCGCTCACCCGGTAAGCGAACTTCATCCCGGCGGCAGCACACGTGCCTCAGAGCTTGCGCACACACTTGCGGGTGGGGGCCGCGGACCGGCACTCTCGACACACACTTCCGGATCTGGCCGCGGACCGGCACTCACGGCGCACACTTCCGGATCTGGCTGCGGACCGGCACTCTCGACACACACTTCCGGATCTGGCTGCGGACCGGCACTCTCGACACACACTTCCGGATCTGGCCGCGGACCGGCACTCTCGACACACACTTCCGGATCTGGCTGCGGACCGGCACTCACGGCGCACACTTCCGGATCTGGCTGCGGACCGGCACTCACGGCGCACACTTCCGGATCTGGCTGCGGACCGGCACTCACGGCGCACACTTCCGGCGCAGGAGGGCTGAGGGCTCGCGCTCGGAAGAACCTCTGCAGCCCCGCCACGCCTTGGCCACGCCCCCTTCTCTCCCCGCGCAGGGTACTGCGCAGGCGCGGAGGGCGGCACGGTGCAGCGGCGGAATGCTCCGGCTTCGGAGCTCCTCCCAAAAAGGAGACTTGCACTAAACGGGTGTCCGCGGTGGTGACAGCCCCGGGAGCTCAGCTGTCCAGGTCCTGAGATAGGAAGTCATGGAAAATCCCCAGTTTCCCCCGAAATTAAATCACGTGTGCCGGGGAGCCAGGAGCAAGGCTTGGGGAGTGAGAACAAGCGTGCCTAAAATGTCTTTTTTCAGACGTGTAATGCTTACTTTTCTTTTCAGTACTGGGGTTTGAACTCAGGGCCTTCAGTTGAGCCACTCCACCAGCCCTTTTTGTGTTAGGTTTTCCCGAGATAGGGTCTTGTGAACTATTTGCCCGGGTGCCTTGGACTCGCCATCCTCCTGACCGCTGCCTCCTAAATAGCTAGGATTACAGGCGTGAGCCACTGGTGCCCGGCTTGAGGCTCACATCTTAAACAATCTTAATACAGCGGGTTCAGTCTAACATTATATACGGAATAGTGTGGAAAGGGACTTTCCTCCATGAAAATGGAATCAACACCCACAGTGCCAAAGTCAACAAGTCACCTCTTCCCAGATCCCAGCAAACCGTCCCCAATGATGCTGGCGGCTGTTTCATGTTCAAATGAGTACGGTGAGAGAAAGGGCATTTTCACGAAAAATAAAATGTAAAGATCGTGTAGGATTTATTTTAAAATCACAGCTGGAAGTAAACATGGATCAGCCCACTTAGGTTTTCCTTTGTTTTTAGACAGAATCTCACCTCATGGCCCTGTTGCGGGAAATGGTGAGGGAAGCAAAGTCACTGAGGCCATTTCCACAGGAATCAGGGAGTTTATTATGCTAGCAGATTCTGGGGAGATAATTTCTCAAAGCCCCAAGCCCCAATCTGTGTCAGGAGCAGGGTTAAATACTTAGTTTGTCTCCCACCCCCTACAGAATGTGGTCACAGTTATAGGAAACATTTCGGAGCTAGCTGGAGGCTCGAAACTTTGCAGAGCTAGCAGAAATCTGCTTGTAGACTCAGTGGGGAAACCAAGGTGAATACCAGACACAGTAAATCCCAGGAAAATAGCCAAGCTAGCCCCAACATTCCCCCCTTTGATGCTTTGACATTTTATTTGTCAAAATGCATCATCTTTGATCCTCAGGGATGGGATTTTGTTGGGAGCCACGAGCCACAATCTGACAAGGTCGTTGTGGCTTAGCAGGATTCTGACAAGGTCAGAGACCGCAGGTGCACCACGTCTCTCACTGGGGTTTTGGAACGGCTCCCTTTGTCTGGAGAAAAGAAACACTAATAACCTGAAGGTATTTGCTTATGAAAAAGGTTAGGAACAGGGTGGCATGTCCTTGTCACTAAGACCTGGTTTTGTGTATATGAAACTGGGTGAAACTAGGGAGGTCCAGGTTTCATTTATGGAACCCAGGAGGTTGGAGTGAGGGCGTTGTTTCCCAGGCACAGAAGTTCTCCTTGCATTGTATAACTTCCTGCCTTGTACTGCTTATAAGCCTGATGCAAAAATAAAAATTTGCCAGTTGGTCATCAGCCTCTCGATTTGTGTCTCATCTGTTCATTTCTTTCCTGAGCCCTTTCGGGTCAAGAACCTCTGCAATCCTCGCAAGTGGCACCCCAAACAGGGACCCGAACAGAGACTTGAGGTAAGGAAGGCTCAGGATTGTTTCATTTTCAGGTTATGGAGCAACATCGAGAGAAATGGGGCAGCAAGAAAGTAGAGAGTGGCTCTCTTTACAGAAATTTCATGTTCAATGTTGTGTGGTGGAGGATGTAAGGTGTCTAAAAGTCAGCTTGAATGTTTTTTATCTCATGTCCAAGAAGTGCGTCCATGGTTTCCCGATGAGGAACCATCAATTTAAAAACTTGGGAAAGGGTTGATCAAAGATTGAAAGATCATTTTACCAGTGAGGGACCTACCTGTGCCCTGGTAGATGCCTTTTCCTTATGGAATTTAATGAGGGATTGTCTTGATCCACATCATGAGGTCACAACTATTTCCTCACCTAAAGTTGAGATCTCAGAGCAGGAGATAGATGTGTAGACTTCCCCATTTGTGTCTCTTTCAGAATTAAATTTGCTGCCTCCAGATGAGTTCCCCAGTCCTCCTCGTGCTGACTCTGACGCAGAGGCTTTGTCTCCTGGGGAGGAGGAGGAGCTGGAGGAACGGGCAGCACAATATCATCACCATTCCCCCAGATTGCTAAAATTACTCAAGTCTTCGTCTATGTCAAAACCTGCAGTCTCCTCCACTCTTCTAAATCACCTCAAGTTTTTCCCATCACCAGCAGTGGCTCAAACAGTAGTTTGTCCCCTTTACGGAAGGCTATGAGAGAGGCGAGACAGGTTGGAGAGGACATAAGAGAGAGTTTCATTGTTTTCAGTGACAGTGCAAAAAGAGTTCATGAGACTCTGCCTTTCAAGACGCTTAAGGAACTAAAGATGGCAGTGGTGCGGTATAGGGCCACCGCCCCTTTGACCTTGGGGATTATAGAGACTCCTGCTAATGAGTCTCAGATTGCCACACTCAGATTGGAAGACAATAGCTAAAGCAGGCCTCTCAGGAGGTGACTACCTGTCGTGGAAGTCAGAGTTTCAAGACTGATGTTTGGATCAGGCAGATAGGAACCGTGGCACACAGCACCCTTATACTGCTGACCAGCTGGCAGGGGAGGGCCAGTGGGGAAGTGTGCAGCAACAATTAAACTTCCCTGGAGATTATTATGCACAAGTTAATACCCTGGCTGAGCAGGCTTGGAGAAGGCTCCCCTCTTCAGGTTTAAAAACAGAGGAGCTTAGTAAAATCAGGCAGGGGCCGGATGAACTTTGTATCCCGGCTGTTACAAGCCGTGGGTAGACTGGTAGTTGACGGAAGGCAGGAATGATTTTAGTAAAACAGCTGGCTTTTGAGAATGCCAACACAGCTTTGTCAAATGGCCTTATAAATAGAGGAGAAACTTGACGGACTACATTCGGATCTGTGCTGATATAGGACTTCCTATTTATAGGGAGTGTCCATTGCCACTGCCATGAAGGGAATGACACCTCCTCAGCTGTGGAAAGCCATGCAACAAAATGGTCAGTGGCCCCGAGGGAATTGTTTTGTTTGCGGGAAGCGAGGACACTTTGCTAAACAGTGTGCACAGAGACAGAGGCAACAACAACAACCACGGAGATCTCTGCCTCAGACAACCGCAAACAGTGTGCCGCCTCCACCCGCATTTTGTCTAAAGTGCCATAGAGGACAGCACTGGGCTAATCAGTGCCACTCGAGATTTACCATTGACGGCCAGCCCATTAACCCCACTCAGGAAAATCAACTACAGGGAAACTACCGTGGGGGCCCAGCTGCCAGGCCCCTACAAACAATGGCAGCCATGACTTTCAAGCCAGCTCAGAATCCAAACGGAGGGTTTCACACCTTCAAAGAGCCACCCCAGGGAGTGCCGGATTGGACCTTGGTCCCTCTGCCAGAATCGTATTGACCCTGAAATGGGGGTCCAGGCTATCCCTACTGGGGTTTATGGGCCGCTGCCTGCAGGCAGTGTGGGGCTGTTTTTGGGCAGAAGCAGTCTGACTATGAAAGGTCTTCTTGTTTCCCCTGGTGTTACGACTCTGATTTTCAGGGAGAAATTGGGTTTATGGCTCGTACTCTTAAAACTACCCTGACTCTTACTTCGGAACAAAAAAATAGCACAATTGATCTTAATCCCTTATCTTTTGGGCTCTACCAAGGTCCTGTCAGAACAGTCCCATGACACCAAAGGCTCTGGATCATCAATAGGGCTTATTGGATTCAACAAATTGGACAAAAGAGGCCAGAACTAGAACTTAAAATTAGCGGGAAAAAGTTCAAAGGTCTAATTGATATCAGGGCTGATGTTTCTGTGATTTCTTTGAACCACTGGCCTGCCACTTGGCCAATGCAACCTGCTGTTACACAGCTTTGGTATTGGACAAAGTCAATCTCCTTATCAAAGCTCTTCACTGCTCCAGTGGGAGGGCTCTGAGGGGAGCAGTGGACAGCTTCAACCATATATCTTGTCCCATCTCCCTGTTACTTTGTGGGGATGGGATGTCCTAAGGATATGGGATGGCTGGTCCTCAGCCCCAATCACCAAGTCACTCAACTGATGCTGCCCCCGGGCTTTGATCCTAGAGCAGGCGTGAGAGCACAACATCCAGGGATAACACAGCCTATAGAGCCTGTCCAAAAAACTGAGCGCCATGGTTTGGGGTTCCAAAATTTTTCATAGGGGCCCTGATGACCCTCCCACCACAAACTTCTGGTGCAATTACTTGGTTGTCTGAGGAGCCTGTCTGGGTGGATCAGTGGCCCCTTACAAAGGAGAAACTGGAAGCTGCTCATCAATTAGTACAGGAACAGTTACAGGAGGGACATACGGAACCCACAAATAGCCCCTGGCATACTCCAATTTTTGTAATAAAAAAGAAATCTGGAAAATGGAGGCTGCTACAGGATCTAAGGGCCATTAATAAAACAATGCAAGTTATGGATCCTTTGCAGCCTGGCCTGCCCTCTCTGACTGCCATTCCTTTACATTACCACTTGATAGTTATAGATTTAAAAGATTGGTTTTTTTACCATTCCTC